AATATAGAAATTTGTTTTTCTTTTTGCAATTGACTAAAAAGGAAAGTAAGTTAATTTAAATTGGCACAAAGAAACCCTTAGAAACAAGATGACAAACCAAATAAAACATAACATGAGTTGATAGATTGTATCTTGCTCAAAAACAAATACTTACATATTCTAGAATAACCAAAAGTTCCAGACAGCCAGAAATAAAGTATGAAACTATATCCTAAGTCAAAGACTTATGTACCAAATGCATAAATATAATTTATTTATTTATTATATGGCTATCGGTTAACTCATTAAAAAACAATCTCAAAATGCTAAGAATTGATAACTCAAGAATAAAAGAAAATCAAAATTATTATCGAAATCACTAAATCAATAATTTATCGATAAATCAATAACTGTTATTATTAATTTGAATTATTGATTCCGTTTCGAGTTTGAACAACCCTAATCCAAACCGACACAAAATTTGAAAGTCAAACAAGTGCAATGGAATTATATGTTTAGTGCTTTCAGAACAATAGAAAATAATCACTATCGCTTTCAACCAAGTTGTTGTTGCTGTTGCAAGAAGAAAACCTCGAATTTCTACGCAACATACGTGTGGCTATTAAAAAAATAGAAGTATAAAACAAAAATAAATTAATCCAAATTATACAATTTGAATTCTACAAGCAATTTAGGGTGGTCATACATAATCGAAAAATTGAATAAATCGAATAAAAAAATCTTTACTAGTTCGATTTGATTTGATTTTGATTTTTAATTTTAAAATTTGTGTTTAATATTAAGCAAACAAAATGGAACCAAAATAAATATTTCTTGTAGGCCTGTTCAAAATTAAATCGAAATAAAAATTTCAAACAAAAAAATTTATTGGTTTATTGGTAATGGATAATTTGTTTAGCGGTTTGCTAACCGTTTTGATTTTTTTATTATGGAGTTATCGGTTCTTAATGATTTGAGGTTTTTTCTTAACGTGTTAACCGATAACCCGATAGTAAATCAATAAATTATATTTATATCATTTAGTATATAAAAGTCCTTGACCTAGGTTTTAGTTTCAAACTTTCATTTCTAACTGTCTCAACTCTCGATTATTCTACAAGGTGTCAATGTTTGTCGTTGAGGAAGATGTAATCTGTCAACTCATGTATATGATTCATTTGTTTGTCAATTTGTTTCTAAGTGATTTTCAATGATTTTTTTGTGCGTGAAATATTAACAATTAAATTGGTAATTAAATCACTAACGATCAATAACAGATAAATTAATATTTGAATAATTCTATAACAATTTAACTTTCTGTAATTTTGATATCCGATAAGTCGAACAAATAAACCTAAATCAATCAATACATAACCCCACACCCTTGGTTCATAATCTATGGGTATGTCTTTATAGTTTGTTTGCAACAAATTTTAAACATATGGAAAATAAATCAATCATACAAATAAAATTGAAGAAACATATATAGTATTTTATTGATAATAGTGCGGGTACAATTTTGCTCCTCCCTTGATTCTCCTCTCATAAGATTTATCCATGATTCGAGGGCCGTTAGTGGCGTATTTCTCGAACTAAGATGATTTAGATTTGACTTCTATATGAATATTTTATGAATTTGCGGAATATTCAAAATGTTTTTTTCAAAGGAATATAGTACCCTTTTATATAGGCATAAGCTAGGATTTAGGGTTAGAAGATCCTCCAAGAATTCTAACATGAATCAAATATATCCGTAGGATCTCAACTAGAATTGAACACTTCTTTAAGAATCCCACAAATTTTCAATGTCTACAATAGTAATCCAATTATTTATCTTTTTACTTCCTAATTTGATTTGTAGCCTTTAATTGAAAATTCGAAGAAAGATTTCATGTTCAAAATAACTTATTTTTGAAACTTTTAATTATTTAACATTTTTTAATTTAATATCCGCGAAACATCAAGGTAAATCAAGAACACTTAATTTTTTACTAAAAATAGTAATAATTCATTATAAGAAATAGAGTATTATAAATTTTCTTGAAATAGCTAAATTCTTAAAACAATGCTTACAATTTTATCGAATAGGCTACATATATAACTTGATTACATGTATAATTTCTCCTTTGCTTAGTAATTGATTAGGTAATGACGTAATGCTATACTGGAATATGGTCAATTCCAATATGTACTTGAAAGCCTGTCACATACTATTAAAAGAAAAAATAATAAATTCCAATGCATAAAAACTCGATTTAATTGGTTTGGTTTGATTTGATTTCCTTTTTAAGGAAAATTTTTCCAAATCGAACCATCGTTAAAATAGATGCACCATGACATGTATCACTTGCTCAAACTATGACATTAAATGCATCATCTTTCAGCAAGTAGAGGAAATGTAAAAGGAAATAAGACATAAACACACAAAAAAAGAAAAGATATCAACAACGTGAAGACTGCAATCTCGACTTAGAATAATCAAACGGTCATCACGAGTCACTTATCTTCCCTCATTTCTAGTCTATACCAGTTGTTTGTGACCATCGCAGATGCTTCGTGGTCAGGTGTCTGAGATACCGTATTTACCTCCTTAGCAACAAGTCATCGATCTTGCCTCATGTGCTTGTTGGAGACGAGGCAGAGCGAGCTCTAATTGGCTACTATATGATATGTCTCACGGCGGTCCATTTGCAGGATCATGAGACAAGTGTAACCCAAATCCGTGCGCTGCACCTGTGTTGGATCCTCCAAAAAGGATCAGAGCAACATAGCTCAAGTACCTCAAACTTGTTTCTCATAAGAACTGACCTTCAATGATCTCTAAGGTTTTCTCAGCCTCACAATTAATCCAAAAGTTCATGGCATAAAGCTAGGAGCTCTGTCTACCGTAGCGCCTCTGCCTTTGTTGAAATGAAGACAAAGCCTCCATGAATTCCGCTTCTCCAAAATCAGGCCAATGTGAATGTGAAAAGAACAGTTCAGCATAAGCCAACTGCCAGAGTAAGAAATTGCTAAGCCTTAGCTCCCCACTAGTCCTTATAAGCAAATCAGGACAAGGGAAATCGATACAGTTTGTTTGTAATTCCTGCTCTATTAGGAAACTATTAATGTCCTTGGTTTCGATAATGCCATCCTTCACTTTTTGAGCGATGGTTTGACAAGCTTGTACAACATCATGCTGTCCACTATAGTTAACTGCAACAACAAGGTGAAGTCGTGAATTTTGCTTAGTAGTCTTTACAGCTTTATCTATTAAGTCCTGCAATGACTTGGGGAGCTTACTGGAGTCACCAATTATAGATATTTGAATCCCTGCTCTGTAGAAATCCAATAAAGTATATAAGGGAACTCCTTAGACTATACAGAGTCGATCATAATATCTCAAAGTTAAAGCTTTAAGAAGAAAAAGAGGAGAGGTTATGCAAATATGTATATTTTGGCAGTGCAAATCAGAATTGGTACAAATGAACTTGCAGTATAAACATAATGAACCACTAAAGCCATATCCTTATAAACAGCGCTTTCTGTACTAAGTGGTCATTTGGTTGATGAACTAGTTATACAATATTACACAAAACAATGATGCTATGCAATGGAACAATAATACAGAGATTGTTCGGCAGTGAAAAGTAATATGGAGATTATTATATTGGAATTGTCTACCTTAAGAGCATTTTTGTCTTCAGATACAATTTTTCTCGATATTACTATTATATTTCTTCCACGCATAAAACAAAAAACACTACATTCGTTACATAGATATAGAATACCGGAACCAAACATATTAGTTATGCAAGATTACACTAGCAATCAAAACAACCACGAACCGATATAGAACTAACAAACACATTGTTCATGAGTGTTGACAAAAATACAAACATTTAGAGAACAGAGTCTATTCAGAATTTGAAGTTTACGGATTCTAGAGTCATTTACCTGGCAAAATTTTCAAGTTCACCATTCAGTGCTCTTTCGAATAAGCTCATCAAAATATCAACTTCCACCTATAACATACGCAACAAAAAAAAAAGATCAACAACAGCAAACACAAACAAATTACACAACACTTAATAAAAGGGAACTTATAGACTTTACTTTAGGACGTAACCAATTATCAGAGGAAAATGCAAACAAAGTAAGAACCCTAATTCCCCAATTTCCACACAGCTCAATAATATTCCTAACAGCTCGAATACCCGCTTCATAACCTAAGGCAACGGGCAATCCTCTCATTTTAGCCCACCTTCTATTCCCGTCCATTATCACCGCAACATGCTTCGGCATCAGTTCTCGCCTGAGCTGTGGAGGTAGAAGTACTTCCTCAGCTGAACCGTCAATGGCGGCGACACCAGTACTGTCAATGTTGCTAATGGCGGCGTTCTGAGCAACGGCGAGTGGATGAATCGACGGTAATTTGAGTGAGATTAGAGGATTAGTTATTGATTTTGGTTGGGAGCAAAATCTAGTGTGCGAAAGGAAGATTTGATGGAGCTGGAGTGAGAACGCCATTTTTTGTAAAGGGAAAAAGGCTCCTTGTGTCAATTTTTCAGATTTGACTTTGGAGGGAGATGACTTTCAACTTCCAAAAAACTTGTATGGTTGATACTAAACCAACGGCTGTGAGAAAAGGATAACATGACAAAATTGGTGTCATTTATATAGAGGTAGGTCAAAAGTAAAAGTATTACTTGACACGAATTTAGCGTTGTTTATTATAAATTCCTTTTTTTTTATAGTTCCTTTGACGTCTAATAAACAAAATTTGTTTAAAAAACAAAAGCCGAGATACCAAGATAAGTTATCTCAAAATCAGCTGTTGAAGTTTTATTTGTGAAATTTAGAACTTCGTAATAGTTGTTATTCTTCAATTACATGGGAAAAAAATTATTTTGTGTTTTTTGGGGATTTTTATCCTTTCTGTTCAAACGATTCGCAAGGGATAGTCCCTTTTAGTTAATGTGATTTGAGCTGCTTCCAAGTTAAAAACCCTGAGAATATGAGATCTGAAAAGGTCATTTTACTCTATTCAATGAGATAATTTCCATAAAAATAATGCTGCTGAATGAATATGAAAAAATCTGCTTAAAAGATACACTCTAGGATAAACACTACTTCTCAAAACTAATATCCTAAAAATATCGAATGAGACATTACCAGGCTAACTGTTACATTTCATCATGGGACTTTCCTCTACATGTAGGTAGCTTCATGTGTCTCGAAAAGAAAAGAAAAGAAAATAATCATCGTACACCATCCATTCGGGTACTTCGATTAACATTAAGAACTCTTCATACCGGAGGAGCATTAACGAGGAGTATTGCAGAACATGTACGAGCCCCATCTACTGGAAGAATAACACATGAAGATACAGCAAAGGACACTAGACCCTATGCCCTCGCGGTAGAGGTAGCCAGCACAAAGTTAAACCTCAGTTCCATAAGCTCGTAAAGTTCACTCAACGTATTCAATGGCACTGGTTTCTTTGGGTTTAATGCAATACACACGAGATCCCAAATGGTTTACTTCAAGACCAGCCTTTTCACATCCTGTGAAAAAGAGTGATTCGTCTTCTTTCCCTATCCTGCGCCTCCAGCTCATTAAGAAAGCTGGCCGAGGCAAAGGACATGTATCTGAGCCATAAGTTTTGATAGACCGGTTAATTAGTGATGTCTAAGATTAATAGGTAAGCTTTACAAAAAGTATATACTGACCTTTTTCTTCACTAGTTCCAGAACCTGTTTCATTAACTTTTGGCTTGTAGGATTTCAATAGAAAGCATAGCGTCTTTACCAAGTTCTCATATTGTTTCACATCTGCAAGTAGCAAATGAACAAGAAAAAATGAGAATTAAGGGGAAAGTTCGAGGATACGCACAAGAATTACAAGCTGACACATACAAGATAATAGCAAGGGATAGGATCATAGGAAGGATCATAGAGAGCCTGAGGCGAACTACTTACATAGTAAGATATCACTTGCAATGATGAGGTCCCAGTCAGGATCAGCTACTGGAAACACATCTCCCCATGAATCTGAGAGCAATGCCAATTTATTTTCGAAAGTTACGAAAGCATAACTTGTATATCAAAACAGAAGTTAATTGTTCATGGTTTATAGTTTTTTTCCCAGAGAGAATTTGCATCGTGGTGATAAAAGATGTAAAGGAATAAACTTCATGGAGAAAAGAACTAACGCCTTATGTGAGGAAGGGCAGGTGAAACGCCATTCGCCTGGCAATTATGTGCTATGTTCTCTTCAATATCAGGATCATCATAGTCCGACGTTGTAATATCAAGTTGATATGATTTGCTCAAGAAGATAGCCAAAGCTCCAGTTCCACTGTGACAAACTCAAAAGGTAGCACGAGGACCACCATGTTCAAGCCATAAAGGGAAGGAAGCAGAAAGAGGAAGGAAAAGACACCAGTTGATGTTTATAACTTAATGTTATTCTTATCTTCCACTTTCCTCTTTTCACATTAGATACGCATGAGAGCCAAGAGGACAGAAACAAATGCAAATAAAATAGAACTCTTTCAGTCGATAGCATGACAGATACAAATGAGATTGCCAACTGAACAACAAAAGAGAATGAAAAATGATAAAATATTAATGAAGGTCAAACACCTCAGTCCTCACATTGACAAACTTCACAAATCAGAACTATAGATCACCTCTAAAACGTTCTTCGACCAAAGCAGTGACTGCTAAAAAATGTACATTTTATTCAATTCACCAACTGAATTTTTTTCACGCTGGGATCCTGCTTCATCTTCGATTTTGCTATTGAAGATAGAGATACATACATATATATATAGAGAGAGAGATCTCCATGGGAGGGGTACAGTTTAGATATATGCCAGGGTTTCAGACAAAAAGGAAATAAAATTTTGATCTGAATCCCATCCCTCAACCAATTTTTTGGAAATATATATATATATTTTTTAATATATATATATATATATGGCGCTCACTATTCTCTTAGTATCAAGAAGTGTTTTTTTTTTTCTGTAAATCCAACCTCATCAATTTTTACCTGATGAGTTTTTTGGTGTGAATACCGAAAAAAGAAGTGCTTTTATTAATGTTCCCTATTACGTTGCAGAGCTTAGCAGTATAATTGAAAGGGTATTAGTTGGAACAGCATCGTGCAAACATTGGCCTCAGATGAAAATATAGTCACTGAAAATTGCTAATATGGCAGTCATTAACAAGAAACATTATTTGATATTGAAAAGGAGGTTTTTTTTTTTTTTTTTTGATAACCGAGAAATCCATCTGTGACCCTCCCTTTGGACCCCTCCCTTTAGACCAATCACAGCCTTCTAAACTCGGTGGATAATGGGCCCGCCCCTCTACCCTTCTCCACTTAAATACCAAGCTTCACTTTGCATGGTGTGGAGCTTGAAAAGGAAGTTTGTTTCTTACGTTTATAACAAACATTTAAACAGAATAGCAGCAAGGTTCACTTGCACCATGAACTTTGAAGCAAAGTTCTACACAGATTGTGCAATGGGCACATGCTAAGACCATTTAGCAGAGAAAATACTGAAGAAGGTCCAACCTTTTAGGATGAGAGAACAACATATTAAATGCTTTAAGGTATTACCTGCCTAGCTCAATTATGCGACTCCCGCTTAACCAGGATGTATGTTGCGCAATCCATTCCGCAAATGCAAATGTCCCAGGCCAAAGTAAATTAGCATTCATCTGGTGAAAAGAAAATTCTTGGATGAGCAACTCCTGTGGACAAACCAAAGTGTATTAGTTTCCATGCTGAGCAAAGCAATAAACAACATACACAGAACTCACATATCTCTCACACACATTTACTTTGGCAAAAATACAAGGAAGCAGCAGCATTGTGATAAATCCTGAAACATGATTTGATCCCCTATTAACTTCTGACAAGTGAAGATTTGGTCAATAAACTGAATGCTGATATATAACAATCTCAAGCTATTTATTTAGTTGGAAGATGGTATTATTGTGCAGGAAAATAAAATCCAAGCCGATTAAGCCCAAACATCCACCCACAAGATAAGACAACGAGAAAGGAAAATTTTCCAGGTAATCGTCCAAGTGAACTATAGATAATTTGGAAAGATTCATTAGATCATTACATTGCAACTTGCAACCACGATGTTTCTTTTAAACCAACAAGATTTGATAAGCAGCAAGCAACTTAAAATTCTCCAGTAAAAACAAAAAGAGCACATCTCATGTCCTTAAATATAAACATAGTAAAAGATAACAACATGAAATCAGTGAGTGAATGAATGTACAAACATCAATCTTCACCTAAGACCAAGGGGAAAAGCGACCTCACGGTTCAAATCCTATCACAGAGATCTTTCCTTCTCAATTAAAGGAACTGTTTTTCTGATTTATGAAGTTTATCAACTAAGGGGTCGTTTGGTTGGGAACAAGTTATCCTTATTCTGGGGTTAGTTGTCTTGGGATAACTTATCCCACCATGTATATGGGATAATTTATCTCATCACTATGATATAAATGGTGGGATAAGTTATCCCAAACATGGCAACCAAACAACATACAAAAATCTCATCACTATTTATTTTTATCCCTCACACCAAACGACTCCTAAAGGTACTATCTTTCCTTCTCAAAATAGTAACAAGACTCGTGAAATGGGTTGAGCGACCTATCATCTGTTGTTCTAGCCTTGGTGGACAGAAGTACCTAATACTTATTATTGGTGGGAGGTTAATCGAGGTTCACACAAGTTGGCCCGGCCACCACAGTTATCGAAAAAGAAAAAATTATACCAACTGCCATTTACACATATACAAAAGATCTGGCGTCTAAAAATCTTAATACTCATTTACTTTTAGCTCTTGAATTTTAATGGTAATAATCAATAACTACTACAAAATTGCTAGGAACCCAAAATACAGAATCTAATTGAACTCACCATTTCAGGGAACTGGTGCCTCCTCTCCACAAAATTTTGCCGAGCCTCCGTGTTCTCTTCATCTGCAGCCAAAAAAAAAAACTTTAACGAGTGTAACATGAATGCATTACGAAAATCATATATGAATATTGTTAGAATTATTTTATTTTTTAAAAAAGTGTACCGGAGGAGTTGCTATCACTGCCGCCGAACAAGGAAGAAGGAGAAAACAGAGCAGTATCCATTACTGTAATTGGAAAATTTGGGGAAAGAGGAAGACTTGATTTTTAATCAATTTTATTAATATCAAACCTGGCCCTATATGTTATGTAAATTACAATTTACCCCTCATTTCTTTTAGGAAAAATTGTATATAATAGCAAACTATTAATTCAAATTAAATGATATAAATATAGTTTGATTTAATTGTACCTCATAGCAAACTGTTGTTATTTCACCTCTCTCCTGGTGAATCTCGCTCGCCACTCTCCCAGATCTCACTCGCCACTCTCCCAAATCTCGCTCTCTCACTCGCCTCTCTCACTTTATACAAAAAACGCAAATTGTATAAAATGCGTTTGTGTTTGTATAAAGCGAGAAAAAATTGTATATATACATATACTTTCGTTCTCCTCTCTCCCCTCTCCTAGATCTCGCTTGCCACTCTCCCAGATCTCGCTCTCTCACTCGCCTCTCTCACTTTATACAAAAAACGCAAATTGTATAAAATGCGTTTGTGTTTGTATAAAGCGAGAAAAAATTGTATATATACATATACTTTCGTTCTCCTCTCTCCCCTCTCCTAGATCTCGCTTGCCACTCTCCCAGATCTCGCTCTCTCACTCGCCTCTCTCACTTTATACAAAACTCAAATTGTTATAAAATGCGTGAAAATTGTAATATATATATTTTCGTTCCCCTCTCCCAGATCTCGCTCGCCACTCTCCCAGATCTCACTCGCCACTCTCCTAGATCTCACTCGCCACTCTCCCAAATCTCGCTCGCTCACTCGCCTCTCTCACTTTATACAATTGATCTTTTTGTATATGTATACCAAAACAGATTATACAACTGCTTTCTTTTGTATATGTATAGCGAAATATACATATTTATGTTTGCTATGAAGCGCAATTATGCAAACTTTGTTATAGCATACAAATATGA